AGTCATTTTTTCAACCTTGGATTATTTCTCTTATTTTTTCACATTGCATATCTGATGGTGAGAGCAGGGAGGCGTGGCTGCGATATCGGTGGGAGTCCAGACTGCGTGAGAGGCGAGGGTCCACACGAAAGAGGGCATAGACGCATGCATAAGAGAAGAGAGTCGGCACGGAATACGCAACCACGCCCCTTGCTGCCCTCTGACATGGACGATAACTCTTCTCAATACAAATATAGTTAAAGTGTGAGTCGTTAGCGTTCAGCAACCTTGCAGCATTGCACGCAAACTAACAAGGAAAGCTATCTTAGTTAGTTAGCCTGACACTTTGCAGAAGTGTCACGTTGCATCAATTATTTCTTGGTGCTAATGCCGCGCGCGTGACCTAACTTGCGAAGCTTCTTTCGACGCTCCCATTGCAACGTAAAACTAATGACCCATATTCATGGCTATAATAAGATCAAAGCCGATGTGGTTACCTTTTCGAAGTTCTTTATCCACGACATCGGGATCGAGTTCGTCGGCTACGAAATATTCCTTGAGCCTTTTGTTGGAAACCATTACCTGAATTGATATGTAGTCATCAAAAGTAACACTCAGTACACGCCAAACTTCGAGAATCCACAAGCGGGGGTCGTATTTGCCACCTGAGGGGAGTTAAATTCGAATGGCTTTTCTCAATTGTTGGTTTTTCCTGTTCACGCGCACTACACACCCCATGGTACTACTACACAGCATTACATCTCTGACAGTTCATCGGAGGTGTCTTACCTCACTCCTCAACCTTCTCCACTCACCACCCACTCAACGGCAAATTTCCGAGAAGACTTGGTATGACTATCGGTCGTTGGCGAAAGGGGTGCCATCGGAGACGAAAATTGGTGTGGAGGGGAGGGTCGTATTGAAAGTCTCCTCCAATACCGGAACGTGTCCTGGTAACATAGCAAATGAAGGCTGAAGCGTCCCAAGCATGGTCCGGGGGAAAATGTCTTCGACACCCTCCCTTCCCACATACTATCTCCTGTCGAGGGCTGCTCGCTGGGGCTATGGTCTACGTATGCTTGACCCTGGGCTAGAGAACGAGTAGAAACTATGGAAACCTGACTCACCTGCACGATCATATTTATGAGGTACGCTATCACAGCCATGGGAGAGCGTAGTTGATTGAACAGAGTCAGAGATACGAACGCCACCTGAAGGAATTATTAGCTTCGGAAATTGCTCTAAGGAGCTTCATATAGCACCTGTGGTGTGAGCAGATGTGACGGTGATGTGAATATGAAGGTGCCGAATGAGAACAGAGCAACCTGGAATAATTGCAAATACGAAAAAGCCTCCATTCTTCCCGTGGTCATTCTGCTCATCCGCCGCCTCTCACATATTAGGTTTCACGCAATCTCAGTTGTTGCTGGTGAAAGCACAGAATATCCGTGTTCTATTGGAGCGGGAGTATATGGAAAGTTAAAGCTAGGCGAAGTAGTCTTGTTCGCTGCGGATGCCTGGGCGTAACAGAGAGCCGTGTTTGACGCGGCACCAGTCGGTTTTTGCTACAATTGTTTCGTTGCAGCCGTTTCACCGTTGCTGGAGAAGGGTTGGCGCCGCGACCAAACAAAACCCTGTCCTAGAAGTGGCAAATTCTGCGTATAGGTGCCTCATTCACAACAATGCCTGGCGCACCCTTATTGGCCTTCTACATCGGAAGTGTAACAGAGGGCCAATCGTTCCCTTCCATTTGGGAATAGAAAGGGGGAATTACGTGGTGCATGACCGCCCTTCTTATGCTGCAAAACTGGGCGCGCCTCAGTTGGGGGAAGGGCGGACATTTGCGCTTTACGGTTGTTGTTTGCTAGTTCTGCGATATATACATTTTGCCTTGGAGACATCTGTGAGGGGCGTGGGATTTCGAAGAGGCACACATGCCTGCACAATCCACCCGCCTATGACATGGTTTTGCCAGTGGGGGTAATTGTGCGCATATGTAAAAAAACCTGCCCAAAAAATGCAGGCTGGATGAGGGATAGTAGTTACGATGAAAGAGTGTAATCAATATACACGTCATGCCACGTGATGACGTTAAAATCAACAATCCATGCAAACGATAATAGGGAGGATAAAACGGCCAAGAACTTATGCCACCAACCTAGTAGTGTCCGGGAAAGTTCTCAGCGTTTTGTGCACCTATTTTTTGTACATTCACTGCTGATTAAAAACTCATTCTGCCTTGCTTCTCAGTAGCACATCCTGTAGAGAATTTCTTGCGCTATCTGATGGTATAATTGCCGTTTCACCATTGCTTGATAACCCCTTTTTTAAGATTTTTCAAGCATGTGAAAAGAGCACTTCGGACGATTTTTTTCTTCGACTATAAATTGGGGCAATCCGCAATCGAAACAGCTCAACAAATTAACCAGGTGTGGGGCCCAATAGTGCTAGAGAAAGCACTGTGCGGCAATGGCTCAACAAATTTCGTTCTGGAGATTTCAGCCTTGAAGATGAACCTCATAGCGGTCGACCTAAAGCAATATCTGACGAGGATTTTAGGGGGATTTTGGAGGCTGACCCATCCCAAACAGTTCGAGAGATAGCAGAAGAGCTAGGCCTTGGCAAATCACTACGGTTGCAGATTGGTCTGGAATGCATTGGGATAGGTGAAAATATCGACAATGGGTGCCCACAAGCGGGAGTGACCGGCAGGAATCGGCACGTCTCGAGGTTCCTTCTGCATTGCTTTTGCGCAGCAGAAACGACCTGTTTTTGGGCCGAATTGTCACCTGTGATGAAAAATGGGTCATGTATGATAACAGGAGACGTTCCGGACAGTGGTTGGATTTCGACGAACCACCGAGGTAATTTTCAAAGCCGAACCCTCACGAAAAAAAGATTCTGGTCACGGCTTGGTGGTCATCGGCTGGTGTGATCCACTATAACTTTTTATCACCAGGCCAAACCATCACAGCAGAACCCTACTGAAGAAATTGTACCGAAAATTTTGTCAGATGCAGCCAACACTTATCAAAAGAAAGGGTCCGATTCTTTTGCCTGACAACGCCCGCCCGCGTTCACAACAATTTATCCGATAAATTGAGACGAATTTGGGGTTGAAGTTCTACCCTCATATCGCCCATTACTTTCAGCCTCTTTCGCCAACCGACTATCACCTTTTCTAACATTTTCAGAACTCCCTTGCTGGAAAATACTTCATCAATCAGGAACCAGGCAAAAAAGCCTAGTGGATTTCGTTAAGCTTTTCGACACCCAGTTTTTAATGTGATAGGGATTTCAACGACTGCTGGTACACTGTGCAGAAAGTGTACTGATTCGAATTTGTGCCTATTTTCGATTTGAAATCCCGGATAAGTATTGAAAAAGTTACGATCGCCTTTAAGTGAAACACTAAAACCTTGAGAACTTATGCACCAACCTAATAGCATGGCATTACAAGAGTATACGGATCCCCACGAAAGGCATCGGCAGTGATTGACGGGAACCAGCAAAATGCACCATGGTAAACTGTACAGAAAACTGTTCTTTCTTACCAAAAATGGGCTTGCAGTGTTGAAGGAATCTATAGCATTCCTGGTAAGGGTGATTTTACGTAGTAAAGCCAGCTCTTTCTGCCTTATCTGATCAATGTGCTTCTCCATTGGTATTTCCCAAGCATATAATTTCACAACCTGAAATGAAGACGTTTTCCAGGCATTTTCTCTAAGTGTATTAGAAAGAAACTTCTTACTTTCATTCCACTGAGAACTTCGTTCACCATCTTCGTTCTTTCATCCTTCAACTTCATTTGTTTTATCTGAAGGTTTAAAATTTTCCAAGTGCTGAAATATTCCAGAGAAGTTGAGAGGAGCCCGTGGACGAGATCAGGTCTCGCCCATTTCCTGATCATCTATTCCTCATCGCTCACAGTGAAACTCAGAGGGCGCAGACGAGCAGGAAGCGGGCGGAGCCTGATGCCAGCGATGACCACCCACAGCGCTGTCTATCACTTTTAGTTCTAACTCACAACCTTACCTGCCATTTCTTCACTATCATAGAAGACATCACATTTGAGGGCAAGAAAATTAACATCAGTACAAAACCAGGTAATGCCGAATATCCAAGCGTGATTAATAAGTAAATTAAAGCCAGTGTGATCTGGAAATATCGTTCTGTAGAAAGAAGTTGCCATATATTTCGAAAAGCAGTACGATAATTTGGTAATGTGTATAAAAAATACAAGTTTCAAAGGGACGATACCACGTACCTAGGGGCGCGCTTGAAGGGGCCTAGCAATGCCCTACCCAAATGCGGTTCCGCCCCTAGTGGTGCTCCGCCCACAAGTGAGCACATCAGTCAGCGCCCCTTCACCTGCGTACGCTCTAGCCCTTGAAACAGAGGGGCAGAGCGCTACGTAACAATGCTCGTAGCGAGTTTTCTCATAGAGGATAATAGTCCACCGCCCCAGTTTTGCCCCGGTTTTTTCTCACTGTCGCACCATTTAGCAACCCTATTTTCGTTAGTTTCGACTGGTAACCAAATCATCAAATCCTTTGCCTTCAAATAATACAGGGCTGAAAGAAAAAC